GAAGTCAGAGCACAAAAACCTTTTTTGTAACAAAATATCGATTTCTGCTGTCCCTGTATCGATACATTATTAGCAAACAAAATATCACGATACTACACAGTATCGATTTTTTCCCCCACCCCTACAAAATAACCTGTGACTCTGGTGAATATAAAATGTATGAGTTGCTGAGCTTTTCTGTCTGACTCTCTTTAACTAGCCTGTGTTGTCAGGCATTGTGTGCATGTTTCTGTGGACAGAAAAGAGGTGTGGCTCATTTTTCACCATGTCAGTCTCTGCTGACCTCTGACCTCTTAACTCATTTCAATATACTTGTTTTCCCTCACTGAGTTGTTACCATGATTAACTCCATAGCATCCAAGAGAGTGTAGTGAGCACAGAACCCGCAAGAGGACAACGATGCCCTCAGGCCAGCCTCATAAAGTCCATTTATAATTGGTCAGAGACATTCACACAAGTGGCCTCCTGGAGGCCTCCTTGCATAAAGGAACTGATATTGGTCCTGCTGTTGGGTTAAAGATCTTCTAGCATATTGAGTTTGCTTTTGCACAGGCAATTAGACCATATATACACACATATCTATATACATATACACATATAGACTGTGTGTGTCCATACCAAATATTGACTTTTAAGCTAATTAGATTTGTACAAGTTCTGTTTTTGCCTTATACTGTATTTACCTTTATGTTTTTAGATGTTTGAGTAAATGACTACAGCCATTTTTCCACTTTATAAAGACTGACTATTAATAGTTTAGTATAACTGTTTATGAAGCTTGAAGTTCTGAATGATGACTATTTGTAAGATTTCCCTTGGGTGCCCCAGATTACGACTGCTCACCATGGCGTTTCCCTGTTTGATGATGCCATCTTGTGTCTAAGCAGAGGTGGTACACATGGTGGTAAGCACATCTCTGTGGGAGGACTGCAGTTCCGTGTAACATTTACGTGAAAGCTCTGTGGAGTTAACTGTTGTGGTGACCCACCTTTTAAAGCCAGAATCTTTGCCAGACTCCCCAGCTCAGAGGTCTCCTGCTAACAGAAAGTGGTTCACG